GGTGGTGGTGGGGAATGTTACAGGAGGTGTTCATGTATATGAGGGCACTATAAAAATAAAGTACAGAGTTTGCTGAATCATGAAATTTCATTAGATATTATAAGACTTGAATCTTTCATGAAGTGAATTATTAACAAGATAATAACAAGATTAACAAAAGTTTTGCTGCACTAGATATGGTTTCATTCCAGTGTATCCGGTCCTGATTGCATCAGAGGGAGAATAGCTAAAGTATGTTTAAGCCCATTTAAGAAAGGAGAGGCTTTTTAACACTACAAATTTTTCACATTGGAAGTATATAATTATTCAATGACATTTTTAAAAGCCTGATAGCTGTCTGTTGCTGTCTGTACTCAGACTGTGAGTCGGCCGGCAGCACTGGCAGCGAACCCTGGAGGAGGTTCGGAGCTCTGTGCTTCCTCCTGGAATCTCTGCGCTGCCTTCCCCTCCCCCCACGCTCCGCCCCTGCCCTCCAGCTGGTGCCCAGTAACCTCGTGCCACACCTGGTACCAGCCAGAGCTCACCCACAGAGGGACAGAAGTATCACCCTCCTTCCCAAGACTCTGGGCATTCTCACAGGCAGACATACAGGGAGATCCTCAAGGCCCAGGGCCAGAATTCTGAGGATGCCACAAGGGCAAGTGGTTAGATGTTACCAGGACAGCACTTCTCTGGGGCCTCATGCCTAGGCTTTGCTTTTGAGGAAAGGGGAGGAGGTAGGTCACTGATGGCAGAACAGCCACCTGGATTCCCACCAACATCTTGCCAAGCTGGGGGCAGAATCCTGAGCTCCTGTTTTCCCCTTCGACCATCCTTGATCCTAGAAAGACCCGAGGGAAACCCCTCTATACCTTTCTTGAAGGATGAGAACTTGCCAAGTTAAGGTCCCTGCTCTCCAAGGAACCTGTTTTCCCATTCCTACAACCACTTTGCTCATGGCCCTTGTTTTCTGCGCCACTTGAGCGGGGTGTGGCAGGGCTGGCACTGTCTGGGGGCACCTGCCTGCGTGCAGGTAGGTAACCAAGCAAGTGCTATTCAGAGGGGAAACCAGACTGTATTTTCTTGGTCCACAGCCCCTTTGCAAGGCCAGTAAGAGCCTTAAGCAAAGAGAAGAGTAGAACTGAAAACAGGGCCTTGGGTCTGTACCCTAATGGGTTCCTGGGCTCAGCAATTACTACCAATAATCCCCTCCTTTATTTCCCCTAAAGAAAACCAGCCGCTCAAGTGGCTGAATACTGCCTGGTATAGTTTAGGAGGCTTCGTAGGTAACACACACACACACACACACACACACGCAGACAGCGTCTGCTCTAGCCCTAGACCCATAGACATGAATTCCCAACAGCCAAGGGACAATAGCTCCTGTGATCTCCAACTGCTGCCTGGCTTCTCTCCTGAAAAGAATCTAACCCCATAGGTTCCTTATGTGGGCAGAGACTGCCTTAATCTAGATCAGGAATGGGGCTGGTGTGGACTACATTTTTTTAGCCTGATTTTCAAGCCTTGCTGAAATTTAGCCAAATCGAGAAGACCTGCCCTGGATCCGTGTGTCCCAACTAGGGAACTGACACTGTAGTGAATAAGCAGTCACAACCCCAGGTCGCTTTCTGTTTGGTTGCCAAAACCAGCCAGGGGGGCAGGGACTGCCACAGAAGGCCTGTCTGTCTGCACATACGAGGCGTGCAGATGTTTGAGTAAATAGTGGTTGGCGCGCCACCGCAGGAACCGGGCACAGCAGCAGTTTTCTGAGGACGGTGATGAGGCTGGCCAGGTACTTGAGCTTGTGTTTCCCTCCCAGACCTTAACTTCCTGAGTCTCCTTGCCCCGCTCACAGCCCTGCCGGTTTTTCTTCTCAGTGGCTCTCTTCTCTACCCTGGCTCTCCTCCCAACTCCGCGCTCCGCGCAGGTCACGTTTCTTCCCGGGAAGCCCTGCTTACCACGCTCCCAACCTCGGCTGGTTTCTGTAACCCTCCTCTCTCCCGCGTCTGTGCAGCCCAGCTCCAGAGCTGGACAGCAGCCCTTCGGGGGTGGGGCGGGGGACGGCTGATAACTTGAGTTTGTCTCGTTTCCCCTCCCGGTATACCCAAGTGCCCCTGAAGTCCCCGGTCCTCACCTTTACTTTGTCCACTAAGGCCGTTCCTTCATCTGCCCGTGGAACCCCAAACCCGAAGCTCCCAGTCCCTGTAGCTTCCCCCACGGTACACAACCGTCCAGAACATCACACATTTGCTCCAGCCTCGTCCATTTTGCAGTGGGCCCTCTCAACCCAGCTCATTTTACAAATGAAGAGGCTCTGGTATGCCAAGCAGTGTGAGCCATACGGTGGCAAGGAGGAGACCCCACAATTAATGCAGTAAGAACAGAACTGGATATGAGTCTTACTCCAGGCCCTCCCATCTGGAATACCAAAGGGGGGGGGCAGCGATGGACTCAGCTGCTGTGTCCTCTGCACAGAAAAAGACTGAGCCCACAGGTGATAAGGGTGAGCCCCCAGACTGCCCTAGTCACGAACAGGCCTGGTAACCTCCACCGAGTTAGGGCCTGGACATACCTCAGCTAACCTAGGCTCAAGTACTTCATTTCCCCTCATAACACAAAAGGGAGCGAATCTCCTCTTCTGAAGTCTGCCAACTCTCCCAAAGAGAAGAAAGCAGAGATGAAGAAGCTTGCCTTGTTTAATGGGGAGAGAGAAAAGAAATGTCGTGCCAGGAACATGAGGTCTAGAGGTGTGGACAGGGGGCAGCACCCGGATGGGAAGTGGAGGTGGTTTACGTGGGGGGAGATGGTGCGTGCCGAGGGGTTCCGAGGAGGCCAGTGTTCCTCTGTGTGCCCTTGTCCTACAGACAGGCAGGAAAGCGCCCACCACAAGGCAGGAAGGTGGAACTGAACTCTGGCTGAAGACGGAGGGAACGCAGACCTTTCCCAGTCTCGGGTTCAGACAGACAGACAGACAGAGGCAGATAGCTCCATATATACAAACTTTACAGAAAATAAATAAGGAGCTGTGATCAGCTTGACTAGGTTTCATCCCGGATTCTTCCCACCCCTGTGAGAAGTAATTCCAGGGCATTAGCTGGGAACCTTTCAGGCCCTCGGCATGTTAGAACCCACCCCCTCCCCAGGAGTCCACCTCAATCCCCACAGCTCCTCAGCACTGAGAACCCAAGCCCCCAGTCTGAGGGTCTCTGGAATAGGCGCAGGGCCCAGTGCCCACGTCCCAGCTTGCCAGGAGAGCACACCCAGCACTAAAGTTAGTTGCCACCTGAGCCCCCTTCCCAGGGCAGGATCACAGTGGTAGCCCCTCTGGTCCGCAGAACCCTGACCCAGTCTCAGAGCAGGCCCGGGAACAGATCCTTCGCTTCCAGAAT